TGTTGGTTTCATACAATGTTAGTGTGTTTGCTTTGTTAAAATACCTACATGTCTTAGTTACTGTACAATTGCTGTAAAGAGAAACCATGACCAAAGCAACTCTTATCAAAAAAAAAATAATTTAATTAGAGGCTGGCTTACAGTTTGAGAGGATTTGCCTGTGATCATTATGGTGATATTTTGTTTGTGCTATAACAAATAAAGCTTGCCTGAAGATCAGAGTGCAGAACTAGCCACACCAGTTAGCCACAGAGGTCAGGCAGTGGTGGTGCACACCTTTAATCCAGCCTTCGGGAGGCAAAGACAGGTGGATCTCTGAATTCAAGGCCACCCTGGGCTGTGTGAGATTGAATCAATCTAAAAGAGTCAAGCAGTGGTGACTCACACCTTTAATCCCAGCACTGGGGAGGTGGAGATGGGAAATGATGTGGCTGGGTGGAGAGAGGAATATAGCAGGAGGAGACAGGATTCACTAGTGCCTGGATGTTCTGCTTCTCTGGTATTTCAGCTTTCACTACCTCATATCTGACTCCGTATTTTTATTTTATTTTATTATTATTTTTCAAGACCAGGTTTCCCTGCAGCTTTGGAGCCTGTCCTAGAACTAGCTCTTATAGACCAGACTGGCCCCAAAGTCACAGAGATCGGCCTCCCTCTGCCTCCCAAGTGTTGGGATTAAAGACGTGCACCACCACCGCAAGGCTAGATTTTTATTATTAAGACCAGTTAAATATTGTAGTATAGATCATCACAGCAGGAAGCAGGCAGGCAGGTGCTGGAGCAGAAGCCGAGAGCTTTACATCCTGATCACCAGGCAGCAGGCAGAGAGAAACAGAACCTGGGGTGGGCTTTTGAAACCTCAATGCCCACCTCCAGTTATATATACACACCTCCTAATCCTTCCTAAACAGTTCCACCAACTAGGGCCTGAGCATTTAAACATATGAGTCTATAGGAACCATTCCCCTTCAAACCACCAAACTTATTGGCTCATAAACAAGAAAGTTCTATTTGTTGTTTATTAAGTTGTTTATTAAGTTGTTTATTATTTGTTTCCATCCAGAATAAACTGGTCCTATTGATTTGGGCCTGTGATAAGCCTGAAAACCATGGGGGAGAATTGTGAGTGAGTGTGTGGCAGAACAAGGCGGTTTACAAGTCAAAGGAGAGTAGAGACAGAGGCAGAGGCTGTAATATGTCCCATGATCCCTTTCAAGAGCACACCCCAGTGACCTAAAGACCTTTCAGTAGGGTCTACAGGTTCCATGAAGGGACACAGTCTCCTTTGCTGCCTGTGGATCAAGATGTAGAACTCTCAGCTACCTCTTCAGCACCATGTCTGTCCTCAGGCCACCATGTCCCATCATGATGATAGTGGACTAAACCTCTGAAACTAAGCTAGCCCCAATTAAATGTTTTTGTTATAAGAGTTGCTGTGGTAATGGTGCCTCTTCACAGCAATAGAAACCCTAACTAGGACACTTGTTATATTCCTATAAACAAGTCCAATAAATTCATTGATTCACCAAGATGGGCCTAACATAAAATCCTTTCTTTGGTTTCTTGTTGACCTACCTGGTGAACAGACATTTGGTCACACCTCCTCAGAAAAAAAAAAAAGGAATGCATTGAGAGATGCCATGCTGACTGCATGCCTGTGACACTCTTAGCTGAGGATGCTGGCTGCATGCCTGTGACACTCTTAGCTGAGGACGCCATGCTGACTGCATGCCTGTGACACTCTTAGCTGAGGGACGCCGTGATGACTGCATGCCTTGTACTCTTAGCTGAGGGATCAACTGTGTCCTAGCCTTTGCTTCACTCCTATAACTGCATTCCCACCTCAACTCTGCCCCAAAATCACTCTGCTCAGAGGAAGACAGAAGGATGCCGTTATAGCAAGAGTTTGTCAATTCAGACCACAGCGCTTGCTCTGAAGAGAAGATCAAGTGTAATATGAGCCAGATCTAAGTGACTGTGGTCTGGGGACACAGATTCAGGCTCCCCTGAATGGCACATTCCACTGTGGAAGCAGTTACATAAATCTGTAACAGAAAACTCAAGCATTTGCTAAATATATTGGTGAGGACTCAAGTAGGTGGGTTACAATTAAGCAGGGGAATCCCTGATATGTGTTTCTGAGGCTGTTGGATGTCACTCTCAGCTTTGGGGTGATTGGTGGAAACTAGCGATCTGCTTATGGCTCAGTGCACTTCAAAGGTTTCCCTGATGGAAACATGTCCGGTCATCTGCATGGATGCCCATGAAACAGCGAGGGGACCGAGGATAGCAAAGGTGATTTGCCTCTTCACCTGCAACATCCCAACTCTCCAAAGCCACACAAGTTCTAACCAGTCTGGAGAATCAACATGGCTTTCCCAGGGAACTTCAGTTTACGTTACTAACCAGCTCCTTTCTAACCCTGAGATTTTAGTGAGATTCCGGATTTTCCCTCAGTGGCAAGGGGATTAGGAGCTATTCTGTCTCGATGGGAAATCTAGTCTTTATCTTTGGCTAGTACTCTGGAGTTCAAGGCACAAATGCAAGTCTCAGTTCCTTCCATTGCTTGATCCCTGGAAACTTTTAAAGTTTTTTTTTTAAAAAACTTTTTAGAATTGTATTTATTTTGATTGCCATGCTGTTGGATCTTAAGAAATAAGTTCTGCAGTCTGGATTCACCCTGAAAGGCCCCACGGACAACTGTAAAGGCTTGCACCAGTAGCTCCGAGGATTTCAATCAGGGATGGGTATCAGGATTTTTGGGGAGAGTTTAACAGCATCAGGAACAGGCCACACTCCTGAGAATTGATGCATAGGGAGGGACCCAGACATTGGTGCTTTTAGACTCCTCCCACCAGGTCTATATACAGAGTTGAGAATGATGAACTGGTATAATCCTACCCTTTCATAATTTGACATCAAAATATCATCGACATATTTTAGTAGAATTAGCAAAGGCCAAGTAATATTATACATAGACATAATGACAGACACACTCAGAGTCACATGCATAGACACATAAACACAGACGCACACAGACACACACATTCAAAGATGCACAGCCATACAGACACACAAAATCAGCCCTCTGCTCCTGACTCCTTCTTCCCTCCAGCCCCATTGTAGCCAGTCTCTCTAAGAATTGCTTAAATCATCAGGGCAGCAGGGGGAGCTGCACTGTGTGGGGCACTGCCTCATCTATTTTCATGTAGTTGGGTAACAGAAATAATTCATCTGAAAGAATTAGGAAACACCATTTGAGGTGACAGATAGCTTGTAAAAGTCTTTGCAGAGACAGCAAAAGCACCATCCGAGGCAGGGTATACGGACCTCAGAGTCAGTGGTAGCTACACCAATAACTAGACATGACAAAGAATTAGCCTCGTAGCCTTGGAAGTCATGCCGCCTGCTCCCAAGTCCTCCTGACCTGGTATCATTTAGACACATAGGAGTGTTAAAGGAACTGGCAGCTAGGATTTTGTGGCTGGGCGGTTTGGAAGTGTTTTCCTGGAGTGGCAAAGGGGTATGGCTTTCCAAGTTTGTGCAGAGGCTTGAGTCACGGCATGGAGCTAAGGGAGCATTTCCAGGTTTGGAAGACACGTCAGGCAGGGTGAGAGGGAAGAGGATTGAGAGGTCATGCAGCTTAGGGAATGTGGGTGTCAAGGAGACCTTGAAGACAAAAGTACAGAGAGTGAGGGAAAAAGGAGATGAGGGTATGTCCACTGACCTCAGCTGGAAACATTTAAGGGGCAGCCAGGCTCTCTCTGGGGTCTTAGGGGAACGAAGGACTACTGAAAGAAAGATCATCAGGAGACAGGTGGGTCTAAATGGAGCCACCAGACTCAGTCCGGCTGTAATTTAAAGACCATCTGCGGGGAGTCTAGGCTCTAAAACCACCCAAGTGTGCAAGGAGGACAGGAAAAATAGGACTAATTCAAAGCCAGTGGGCGGGAACATCATCCTACTTTCCCCGGTGACTGAGGGAACGTGGGCACATGTGGGGGTGGGCAACGATGTCTAATGGTCAGAGGATGGAGAAGGCGGAGGGCCCAGCATCTGAGTCATCTATGAAGGGCTTTGAACACTTAGAAATTTAAAACCATTTCAACAATTTTGACTCTACAGACAAACAATGGCCTACGGTAGGCCACATGTCATCAAACACTTGGCGGCTCTGTTCTCTAAGGGGGACAGCTTCACACAGCTGCCTACTTACCTACCTGCAAAGCAACCTGTGCACTCAGTCACCAGGGCCAACATGAACATCACCGCTCCGAAGGCTCCCTTCTGTGCCTCTGGAAGGATGACAGTGGTGGATCCTGGTTACACACCGATGTGTGGTGCAGACGGTTCTCATCTCCTATACTTGTATGAATATAAGGGGAACTAAAATATCAACTCTCAACACCCTCTGTTACACCTGAAGTGTGCGCCATCTCTTCTCTCTGCTTGATGAACACTAATTTTGCTTCTGTTGAGTTCTAAGATTCTTTTCTGAAGTCTTGAGTTCTAAGATGCTTTTCTGAGGCAGACAAGGATCTGGCTTCACTGGAGTGGAGTTCTCTAAGGGAAGAACTTCCCAGGCTCTGGCAGTAGTGCTGGGCTGCTCATACCTCTAAAAACAAAGAAGAGAACCATGTCTGAGAAGGGCTGGTCTTTCTAGAATGCCCAGATCACTAATGCAGATGCCACTACACTGGCTGATGCTGCTGGTCTTCAGAGCTTTGTGAAGACCCTAGAGCTGGTGGTTCTAGGTTTGTAGCCTGTCTCTAGTCTTCAGCTGCAGGAATTAGGCAAAAAGCTGCCCAGTCTGTGCCTCAGTTCTCCTAATTGTACCCTGAGGTACTGTGTATTGTACCTGGCTTACAGTCAGGAGGAGAAAATGGTTAGTATCAGTCAAGGGCTTAGAATGATGGCTAGCATGACATGGGAGTTTCATAAACAATGCATATCACTGGCATATAAACAAAACTCATACAAAACCTCTGAAGAACACTTAATAAAATACTCTAAAAATATGTTTATTGTAACTAATGAATATAAAAATTTGACAGATGTTTTCAAACATTCTCCAAAGGAAGTAAAACCCTCCCCTGCCCCACTTTGCATGAAATACAGAATAACAACTTGGACAGAGAAGCAGACAAATTTGCACACAAGATTTCCACTCAACAATTGGTCCTAAAAAGCTCCAACACATTTCTAAGTACAGGTCCATTAAATTAAGAAGCCACAGCTGTTTGATGCTTTTGTAGTTTAACTTGTTTCCTATCAGCATTCTGATGTCCATTCAGAATACTGAGAGACAAGAGGAGGTGACACACGATTCTGTGACAGATACTCAGGGCATGTGGCTCTACAAAACTACAAACATTCATGAGGATACAGACTGTGGAATTAAACATTAACGTGGAAAGGAACCCAAGAAAAATCTATTTATAGTTTAGCCTTTGGCATCTGGTATAACATGCTTCTTCTTCATAGAGACACCACACTGTTCAATTTATTAACCAGAATAAAGTTCTCTGAACACATTTCCCACCTGACACAGATTGTCCACAGCCAATTTCACATGAGGTAGTTGGGCTGTTGAATGACATTCTAGTGAAATTCTCATGACACATGGGAACCGTACATTTCTCGTGTCATGAAGCTGGCTCATCCACCGTCTAGATCATCCTTCTCGTCACTGACTCCACCTACTGTGGGCACACACAGAGTTCTGTGTGGATGAGATGAACTGTGCAATGAAGCCATCCATGCTAGGGCTGACGGAACCATCCACCACAGGCTAAGGAGAGGAGGACACTGACCACACTTTAAGTACATGAGACATTTAAAACAAGCCGGATATTATGCCCCCTACAGCTCGGCTGGAAATGCCTTTCACTCTGAGGAGTGACTCAAGGATTTACAATTTACAAGAATCCTGAAAACCTCGCATTGCAGAGTAGGGGCATTTTTTTCCTTTCCATTAAAGGCTATAAATAGACAATGGAGAAGAGAGATCAACACATGTGTCATCTGTATGCGAGGCATCACCAGTGACTGGTTGATCACACCCTAGATTTCTTGAATGCAGCTGTGCAGTAAGAAATGATGCAAATGGTCTTCAGGCTAGTCTAGACGGGGTTGGACTGGGAGCATTCCCGGGGAGGGCCAGTGAGCAGTGAAAGGACTAACACTGTACATCTATAACCTTGTTACGGATAAAGCCTTGGGACACCATCAGACAGCTACTGGATAGTTACGCTGTTACTGTGACAGCCCCGAGGAAGCGACTGCAGGTCACACAGAAGCACACGGAAGAACACATTTCTCAGTACAGCACGTTATGTGTACTTCTGGGGTCTGCCACACACAGCATGCGCACTGAGCAGTGTCACAAAGCCTCTCAGGTCTGGCTCCTATGGTCAAACACATGAGATCGCTGAGCTGAACGATGGTCAACACAGATTGCGGTTACATCTAGAAACCTTCAACCTTACTAATGTTTGGTAGTGGAATTAGGGTAGAGAGTCCAACTGTTGCACACCTGGGACTAAATCAGAAGCAGTGGTTTGAACTGATGGTTCAGAAGCACAACATGACAGGACATGGTGGTCTAGTCGGCAATTCACAAAAAGACTGTTCTCTGCAAAGTCTCTAAAATGCCTTCTATCTTGTATTGCTCAAAACCCTCTCACGTCTCTGTTGCTTTATCTGAAATCTCTCCTTAAAATTGGACTAGTTTTCTTTAGAAAAAATTCTTCAGCTCTTCTCACTTCCAAATTTAACAAAGTGCACCGAATTTTCCAACCCTATCATACATTTCTCTTACCTAAAATTGCTCGGCAGGTGGAAAGATGAACACACTGACCGTACAAGGAATAATCAAAGGCAGAGGTGTGCCCTCTCCCTGTGGCACCCAGCACTCCCACCGTGACCTTCCCCTACCTTAAAGCTACAAATGTGCACACAGCTCTCCCCGAAGCTCTGGCAGTTTGGGTAGGTAGGTAACAGGTCCTGGACCAGGCTGTGGCTGCTGGAGCTGCTAAAGGGTAAACGAGACCTAGGGGAGGAATCACTGAGGCAAGTTGATGGGGGGAGGGTGCAGCTCAATGCTAGCAATGCTCAGTAGCAGAGAAGAAAAAGCCCCAAGGCTGAAAGAGGGGGTATAGATAATGTCCCCCATTATGGAAGTGACATGAAGTGATGTTTTCCCCCTCAGCATGACTTGGGAAGCAACCATCCATTACATACTCAAAGCACCCTTCATGTTTCCGGTTGTGTCAAGAGCTGCCATCGGAATCACCTCTGCCTCCCTTACAAGCTGGTTTCCACCCTCAATGGTGTCACACCTCCAAGTTAGTTTCTTTCAGTAGGTTTTGGTTATAATCAGATTTGTTTTTAAAAAACAAAAGCCTTGTCACAATTGATGCCAGGCAGCGTGGAGCTGAGCTTCATGGGGTGGGGAGAAGAGAGACTGACGGAATGCACGGTGGTGGGGCGGTACTCCATGAGGAAGGGGTCCGCCAAGGCTACTTAGTCAAGCCTGCTAGTATCTAGGGAGACGTATTTCCCGAGTCTCCAGCTCCGCTCTTAAACTTACGCTAGAAAATAACCCAAAAACTGCTGTTAGCAATGAAGACAAGGTGAGCATTCTGTCAACAAACACACCAGTCCTTCACCTGTTAGGGTGAGGGTGGCTTAGGGATGCCAGAGCTCTTGGAAGGCCCCTGGCAGCACTTTAAGGATCTTTTCTTATTAATCCTTTCTTAGCAAGTAACTGAAAATCAGAAGAAACAAAGCCCGGCTTTAACTAAAATGTGAAACAGGCAACTAGCAATCCAGGAAGAACGAACTACAAACAGACTGCCCGGCATGGCAGCTGTGTACTTGAAGCCTCACTGCAGGCCAAGGTGTTCTCAGTGTGCCCCAGCCCTGTGTTCTAGAGACCACAGAGGCACCCAGAACTGCTTAGTGCAGCCATGCTTAGCATCAATTTCCTGTTAGCACGGCACGGACAGCACACCTACTCCCAGAGACAGCAGACTAGCTGCCTTTTCTTTCTGGTCTTAAGAGGCTATGCCGTGGAGAGGAGGTCTAAACTACGCCCTAGCTCCTCCCTCGGATCTCCACTAGCCAGGGAAGAGGATCCATAGGAAGCTCTCGTGGGAGCAAAGCAGCACACTGTTAGTAATTGCAGCCCCTTCCTCCTGCTCCTATTTACTTTCTACAAGCTCTCATGTAAGCAAAATGCTTGCTCCACGTAAGCTTTTTGTCTTAAAAATATTTTAAGAGGCAAGGTCTCTTGCTATGTTGCCCAGATTAACCTCCAAACTCTGGGCTCAAGTGATAGTTCCACCTCATACTCCTGAGTAGCTTGGATTTCATGCACCACTGTGGCCCGCTCTACTGCTTCAATAACTTGAGGAAATGCCCATTTGCTTAAAGACGACAAAAAACAAAGCCAGTACCTTTCCCTGCACAAAACTCTCTGCAGAGCCCTAGTGTGTGAAGCAGGCACAGCCACTCCCTTCACCTGTACCTGGCAAAGGGGTCACTTTCTTTGGGGGACTGCTTATGCTGGAATGACCTTCCTTGTTACGGAGGAGCATTTCCTGGAGAGGGTACTCATGGCTTCTCCCCTATGCATACTCTAGGCAGCTTGGATCATGACTGGGAGACAAGGGCGCCTTGTCATTCTTTAGAGAAATGCCACAAGCAATGTTGCCTGCGCTGCTGGTCTACTCACTTCCATTCAATCGCTTTACTTGAATGATACCCCTTCCTCTTGGGGTTACAGCATGGATCATTTGTTTTTTTGCAGGAGAATGGAAATTCTGAAAAAACAGAATTCAATTGGTAGCTCAACCAAGTGAGTATCACCTGGGAAGGTCATCAAACAGCAAATTTCCTATTTCACCTCCAGATGTGGGTTCTTCAGGTAAGTCTGAGACAGTACATTGAGTGACTTCAATACGTGGGTGATCTAGTTCACATCTGAAAGCTACCTGGCTCTTTTGCTGAAGGGAGTTCATGAAGCTAGGCAAAAACTAAATAAATAAAAATAAAATAAACAGAAACAAGATACTCCATGAAAGTGAGCAGACTTTCCTATTACAGACTTTCCCACTGAAGTAGGACAGGAATCCTCTCTATGCTATGCTGCCCCGTTCAAACAACACAGGAAATGTACTGGATGAGAGTGGTGGTATGTGCTACCCAAGTGACTTACCCTGCCTCTCTATTCTGGTCTCAAGCATCTCCTGGAACCACGGTCTCACCTGACAATAGGCATGGCAGTTCTTGTTAGTGTTTTCCCACAAATGAAGAAATGCCTTCAATACACAGCCTCCTCATCAGCAGAGTCACAGAGAAGGGACCCACTCGGGACAGTCTAGGAATAACAAACTGTTACATGGCAAGTCCTTCGACAAGGCAGCCTACACTCCCTCCAATGCTCAGTCAACTCCTAAGCTATTTTAAACACTGGCTTTGTGTTATAGTCCTGCATAGTGCTTGAGTTTGGGTGGTCCACTAAAACTAATAACTGAAACAGAGCAATACAAAGTATGATCCCAACAAGTCCGTTTGTTGATTTTGCTCTTACTGCTTGCTATTCAAGTCTATGACAGCTATGATTTGGTTTCCAGTAGGCCTGTTGAACTGAAATATTTAGCACCTTGATTTTTTAAACACAGCAAACACAAACGCATTAAAACAATTCTATAAAAGCACTAGGTTTCACGTCCTCCTGTCCATCTCCCCAAGGAAAGGAGTTGGAGGGCATCGAGGCTGTTGCTGGAAATTAACTAGGGCGACACAACACTTTAGCAAACTTTATTCCCTGAAGTTAGGAGGTGCTGTCCTGTAGCCATCACACCACCTCATCAGACTCCAGCCCGTGGATCTCATATAAAGTGTCCAGTATGGCCAGCTGCTTTTCCATAGCAGGGAGGTAAAGGCTGAGGTCCCTCTGCATCCCGGTACTGAAAGCTTCTTTCTGGTGGTCGCCTTCTTTTATGGTTAGTGCTGCCACAAAATCTTCATAGGATGGTGCTGCCCTCAGTGCTAACTGCAAAAGAATTACCTGTGAGGTTCTGCAACACAACTGTCACTTGCATACTCTTAGACATGCCGCGCACACACACACACACACACACACACACACACGGGGGGGGGGAAGGAGTGGGGAGCTGAGGAAAGCAAGGGTAAACAAATATGAAAGCCCTTCTAATTCACAGATAGGCTACAAAAGGCAGGGGTCTACTTGGGACAATTTAATGATGACTGCTGCCATGAATCCACAATCAGTATGCACATCTGTCTGTTGGCATGTGCATGCTGATCCTGCATACCACCTGTCTAGCCTTCCAGGGTACTCTATTTGTATCTCACTTACATTTCATTTGTCTTATCGCCTATTATTTCCCAATATGGATATTTCCTATAACTTTTTATATTTTTCTAATAAAGAAAGAAGGAAAATTGTAATATTAATAATGATTGTTACCCTGACAGGCCTAGGAGACAAACTTCTAGGCATGTGTGTAAGAGAGTTTCTCGATTGATTGACTGAGGTAGGAAGAACCACACTATAAATGTTTTTGGCATCATTATGTGTGTTGGGGTCTAGGAAGAAAAAGAAGAAATGAGCCAAACAGCAACATTCATCTCTCTTACTTCCAGACTGGATGCGGTGTGACCAACTGTCTCATGCTCCAGGGTACAGGACTACACTCAAAATCTGAACCAAAATAAACTATTTCTTCAACTGCTTTTGCTGGATACTTTGTTGCAGCAATGCTAAAAGTAACTAATACAAAAGAACTAATACCAGGAGTGGGCTTGTTACTTGATGAAACTGACCTCCTGTTTCTTGGACCTTTGGAACTGGTTTGAGGAAACAGTGCAGAAGAGTGGAATTTCAGACTAGGAAAGCCTTAGGATTTTATAAACAGAGCTTGGTAGACTGTTCTAGTATGTGTTTGTAAGATTAAGAAGCCAACAGAACTGTGGGCAGTGGAGGTCTAGGTGATGCAGTTTCAGAGGGAAACAAGAACTCTACTGGGAACTGGACTAGAGGCCAGTCACATTATATTCTGGCAAATTGATTATCTGGCTGCATTCTGCCGGTACTGAGACTCTGAGTGAGGCTGAACTCAAAGATTAGGCAGAGGAAACCTCTGGATAGTTTGATGGTTTAAAAGAAAATGGCCCCCAAAGGGAGTGGTACTATTAAGAGGTGTGGGTTTGTTAAAATAGGTGTGGTCTTGTTGGAGGAAATGTGTTGTGGGGATGAGCTTGGAGGTCTCTTTTGCTCAAGCTTCATTCAATGTGACACTCAGTTTACTTCCTGTTGCTTTTAAACTGAGAAGAATTCCCCAGCACCATGTCTGCCTGCACACTGCCATGATGATGGACTAAACCTCTGGAACTCTAGGATGCCATCTCAGTTAAATGCTTTCCTTTATAAGAGTGCTTATGGTGTCTCTTCACAGCAATAGAAACCCTAAGACAGAAGTTGGTACTGGGGTCTGAGTATGCTGAGATATGCATGGCCATGCTTTTGTTTGGAGGACTTTAGACTTTGCAAGTTTGGGTTAGGAAAGCAGTGGAATGCTTTTAAGAACTGCTTGACAGGCCATACCAGTCAGAGCATAGTAGACAATAGTGCAAAGGAGTGATTTGAACTGTTAGGGGCTGGCTTGAGATTTCAGAGAAGAATTTTAGTACGTTGCCTAGAGATCATGTCTGTGATAGTTTAGTGAAGAAAGTAGCTGCTTTTTGCCCTTGTCTAAAGAGTCTGCCTGAGGCTAAAGTGAAGAATTTTGGATTAATTCCACTGGCAGAAGAGATCTCAAAACAGTCCAGTACTGACTCTGCTGTGTGGTAGTCTGATTTATAAATTAAAAGGAGCAAAAAATGCAAAATTTGAGAAGGAAAGGAGCTCTCTTAATAAACTCTTAAAGTGGGTTTCATGATTTGTTCTCACTTGTGCCCGGTAATTTCACTATGTATGTTGGAAGGATGTAACTTGATTTTTAAAAACTTTTTAGTGACTCAAAGTTAAGGAGACTTTTGAGCAATTTGGAACTGTTAAAGACAATAAAATGATAACTTCTGAAGTTGGACTGAATGCATTTTGTGTGACGGGATGGCAGGAGCGATGGTAAAAAGGGTAGACTCATGATGACAACAGTGTCAACATGACAGTATACAGGATCTCTAAGGGGACAATCTTGTGAGCACATCTGTGGGTAAGCTTCAAGGTGGGGCCAGTTAAGGCTGGAGAGACTCACTCTCACTGTAAAAGGCACTATTCCATGGACTGGGGCCTCAGTCTAGGTGAAGAGGGAACACATCAGAATTCACCTCTCTGCTTCCTGACTATGGAAGTCATGTGACCAGCTGCTTGAGCTACGGCTGTCATGGCCTCTCTAACAAAACAGCACCCTCAGATTGTGAGCTGAAATTCGCTTTCCTTCCTTACTGCTTCTGTCAGGAATTTTGCTGCAGCGACAAGTAACTAATAGAGAGATAATGTTTGCTTTGGTACTGATATTATAATCAATTTGTAAGAACCATGAAGTTTCTAACTCTATTCTTGTATGAACACTGTAAGTCTCAGGCACTCGGGACTAGGTCTGAAACCTAGGCTCACTCTGTGCTGCTTCTCGACCACACCACACCTCTTCTCGGTGGATGACTTCCCAGGTTCACTCCCCACCTCTCATTGCAGTTTGGCTAGTCTGGCTATTCCCAGCTGGCCAAAGCCCCTTTCTGAATTTCATTAGGCTTGGCTCTCCTGGACAGCAGAGGATCTATAATGGTTCCCCATATACTGTGAAAGCCTTTGAGAGTCCCTTCTACCCACTTGTGAAGCAAGAGTGGTTTGTATCATTGACTCTCTGATGTGGGAGTGATTTCTTATTAATAAAGAAACTGCCTAGGCCCCTTGATAGGCCAACCCATAGGTGGGTGGAGTAAACAGAAGAGAATGCTGGGAGAAAGAAGCTGAGTGAGGAGTCGCCATGATTCTCCCACTCCAGATAGACGCAGGTTAAGATCCTCCCTGGTAAGCCACCTCGTGGGCTACACAGAATATTAGAAATGGGTTAGAACAATATGTAAGAGCTAGCCAATAAGAGGCTACAGATAATGGGCCAGGCAGTGTTTAAAAAAATACAGTTTCGGTGTAATTATTTCGGGGCATAACCTAGCCATGCGGGCTGCCGGGTGCCGGGGACGCAGCCCCGCCACTCCTAATTCAACAACTCTCAGATTTTTCACATACTCATTTGAAGAACTGAGCAAAGTGTTTAACTTCCTAGAACCTTACTTTCCTCAACTATAGAAGGTAGCTGAACTTTCCTTTTCTTATTTTCAAGATTAAGATCATATGAGAATGTTTTACCAAAGCCTGGCACATAATTAACATTCAGAAGACAGCGAAAGTATAAAGGCGAGAGACAGAAAAGGAAAATAAGGTAGTTATTCAAAATACAGTGTAGAAAACCTTCTAATACTGAAGAGCAGGCCCTGTAATTTAAATGATGAAAAACAAAGAAAAGCTTATCATGAAATTTTAGAGCATAAAGAAAAGGAAAGTATACATAATTCTCCTTATCTTGATGGCAGATATAGCTGATACAGACCAGGGCGGGAGCTACACTGAATTTTCTAGCAGTGATAGTGGAAGCTGGAGACAACAGTTGAGGCTTCAAAATCGCTAAGGAAACAACTGTTAGTCTAAGTCTTTACCCAGTCAGACCAGCGCTCTAGGAAAAAAGAGGCAGGGCCACTGCTAAGCTCACCTCCCAGTCTGGCTGGAGAGGAAACAGGAAGGTCAAGTGACAGCTGGGTATCAGCAAGCTGGCGGCAGAAGCTTGGCTGACATCTGTTCAGACTGGCCGTGTTTGAGGATTAAGGTTCACTACTTGGTTGGCAAATTAGTCAGATTCCAGGGATGGAAAGATGTGTTCTCTGAGCCACTGAGATCGGCCAGTTGGCACACTAGAAAATGCAATAAGCCTTTCAAAGTGTGGCTGACCTGAGGAGTAACTATGAGGCTGTAAGGCCAGTAAAGCTCAGACTTGACCCATCTACAGCAAGTGCTTTGTGACAATATGCTTGAACTCATGCATTGCTTAAATACCAGCAACATCAAACAACAGCAGATGGGCTAGCTCCATCTGCATCAGGTCTCTGACTAGAGAGGGAAAGGCAGTTATCTCCATGTTAGGGGACTACTAACTTTGTGGCCCTAACGGAAAACAGTGTTTAGTGCATGACAGGCGCTCTTAACTGTGAGCTGTAGATGCAATGCTTGGTATTTGATACGCAATTCTTTCAGCAATCTACTTTAAGAAAATAAGAATTTTAGTACAAGAATGTATAGGAGCAGATTCTGTGCTGCTGCTATGAACAAACACATATTATGGGATGTATTAGGCAGTCACTAAGAATAGGATTTATTCTTAGACTATCATGATATCAAAATGGTCCTAACAGGGGCTGGTGCAATAGTGCCTGTTTAGCACATTAGGCTGAGGGCTTGATCCTCAACAACAAACAATAACAAAAGTCACCACAGAATCTATTAAGTATGGATAAATACAACAGAATTATACTGTAGCAAAATGTAAAAATATGAATTTATATAATTATATACATTCCAGAAACATATATACTTATAAGTAGAACTATATATTTAAAGAAATATATAGGGCTGGAGAGATGGCTCAGTGGTTAAGAGCACTGGCTGCTCTTCCAGAGGTCCTGAGTTCAATTCCCAGCAACCACAGGGTGGCTCACAACCATCTGTAATGAGATCTGGTGCCCTCTTCTGGCCTGCAGAGATACATGGAGGTAGAATGTTGTATACATAATAAATAAATAAATCTTAAAAAAAAAGAAATATTTAAACTAGATCAGTATTTAAAAGATTAAATCAAAATGTATTTTTAAAAAGTTAGGAAGGTAAAACAAAATGCCAGGAAGAAGAAATGGCTGGTAGTAGGTGAACATGCATACAAGTGTCTAGTGTCTTCACCGTGATAACGACTGTTTAAGAAGGGATGACCAGCCCTGCCTGGTGTACCCACACTGTTAATATTTGACACAGATAAAAACAGCAACGGCAAAATGAACCAAGAGTTGAGAATGAATAGGGCTGACAGAATGGGCAGCAAAGGGAGCCGTTAGCTGGAACTCATAGCTGGACCTAATCTCTCCTTGGTGGTACTGGAAATCACAGCCTGCACCCAGCTCTCTCTGCATGGCTGCCCAGCCTCTTCTTCCCTCTAGGAAGACAGACTGCAGAGCACAAGTGTCACTGAAACGCTCTACTCACGAGTCTTTGCTAGTCTGTGGAAGTGCTGATGTTTTCTACTGCTGACACTCCACATTCCAAAGGCCTACGAGCATAAGTGAGCTGGCAATTTTTGTTTTCTCTCCAAAACTAAAGCAAACAGAAATAACAAAACAAAACACACCTTCCTGATCACGCAAACTTTAGAGGAAAGGAATGTCTTACCGCAAAAACCCCGCGAACTACCCAGCCATGGTGTTGCCGTAGTGTTTTGCCGTATGCGTTATCTTAAAAAGAAAAAAAGATTTTTGTGAGGTGCGAATGCTAAGACGCTGGTGTGATCTGCACAGTGCACTGTTTAATGCACTCTTACTACTGGGTTGGAACCTAATCCCCAGGCTCTGAACCCCCAGTGCTACAAAGGAGCGCACTCAGACTGCCACTTTCCCTTCTTACCCCTTTCTTTTCTTGCATTAAGAAAACCAGGCATTTTCACCTATACTGGGGCCACTATATCTGAACTTCAGTTTATTATCATAGTGGGAAAATGCTCATATGGAAAGCAGTAAGTAGAGAGAAAAGGTACAGGAAACTATGACTAAATAAAGTTAGAATGTAATTAAATGAAAACACAGTTCTTTTAAATGTAGCCTAAGCCTGGGCCAGGCTTATGTACCTAATCACTGTCTCTCCCGTAGCGAAATAATCTTTAAGTTCCTGACCTGATGTTTGCTCCTGAGATAGCAAACCTTTTTCTTAATGCCCTATAGCCTTGAATATACAATATAAAAGCTCCAAACCTCTGAAATGTTATGGAAAAACCATGGGTACTGTTTGTACCTACAGCTCCAGCCACTCTGCAGGCTAAGGCAGGAGAGTCATTCAAGGCAAAACCTTTGAGGTCAGTCTATGTAACAGAGAGAGATTATCTCAAAACAAAACAAAGCAAAAAAATGTCTGAACAGGATGGCCTGAAGTTAGTCATAAAGCAAGTGTAGAGAGCTGTTAATAAAGTTATTCACATGCTATATGCTAAAGATAACTGCCTATTATTCTGGTCCCAAGATATTTTAAAGTGAGATTTTAAAACTGGTATATAGTAATTTTAATTTAAAAAATTCTAAGAGCAAAGGATGGTATTTTATGCAAGGGATACATTTTCTGAAATATTGGGTACCTTAATATATAGAAAATTCACATGAGGCAGAGGCAAGTGAATCTCTGTGAGTTTGAGGTCAGTCTGGTCTACAGAGTTAGTTCCAGGACAGCTAGGGCTGTTGTTACACTGAGAAACCCTATCTCAAAAAGCCAAAAAAAGAAACAGAAAAGAAGAAAATTCAAAACTGATTTTTCATCATTTCCACAAGATAGATATATCCTCAGAAGACAATCTGAAGCCCACCATGCACCTTCTTCTTATGTTTCATCCGTGTCTACACATTGTCTCCAGGAGCACAGGGCTGCGCACTACAGGAGGGCTCGACCTTTATCTCCATGTTTTTCCTGAGCACATCTAAGTTATCTATTCCAAACCTATCTACCTTCCTGTGCTACTCAGGGTGAGTGCGGGTACTGTACCAGTGAAGGCTTAGGTGACACTGTGACAGGCTGTACAGTGAGCTCGGCTCTGTCCCGAGCAGATGCACAGAAGACAGATCCTAGAACTACGAGCATGAACTCCTATGTGGGGAAAGCAGGTACAGAGCACAGGACACTGTGCTCAGCTGCTAAGTACAGCACTGCCACATGGCTGCAGCTTAGAAGCGCTACAGCCTACCACAGCTTTAAAATTATGGAATTTTAGCCAACTTCTAGTCCAATATTTTGCATAAGGCTTTATTAAAAACTTCCGTGTGTATTAGCATTTCCATTTTGCATAATCGGAATTTGTACAAACGTATTTCTAGAAAAGAATGCTTCAATATATGTTGTAACATACTTTATATGTAAGACTCAGATTATAAATACAACAGAATCCCTTGGCTATCTAGAGTTTGGAACAGGATGAGATGTCAGCATTAGTGTGGTAGCTCATGCAGAAGGGAAAGAATTAAATGCAAATATGGAGAAATTCTTAGATATAATTGAAAGGAGAGTCCAAGGTTAAATTTATTTTTTTCCCTTAGGTACATAGTATGAGCAGGCCAGGACCTGGTTAAAGGCACAAATCCTCCATGGAAGCCTGACACTTAGCTGACTCCGGGACGGCATGTGGGAAGTTTAGATGGTACCCAGGGCTTTGGTGATGACGTCATGGGAAGAGCACTACTGAATCACCAGTACAGAGAGTACAGCACAGGCAGGCAGTGCCAGACATAGCCCTGAGGAAAACCAGTACAACAGTCATAGGTCTAACCCTCTCAGCTATCTAAGGAGCTACTTGGACCTGTAATTACTGGGGGAAGGTAGTAAGACTCCTTGCTTTCCTGTGACCCTAATCCAGCCAGTGTATTAAATGCCATTATGAAAATCTGCTCTAAGCCAGGCAGTGGTGGTGCGCACCTTTAATTCTAGCACTTGGGAGGCAGATCTGTGATTTTGAGGCCAGCCTGGTCTACAAAGCGAGTTCCAGGACAGCCAGGACTGTTACACTGTATAACCCTGTCTCACAAAAAACAAAAAAAGCTCTGAATATCTATAGTGAAAGCTGTTTCACTCACCAAGAGTTCAGAGTTCATCTACTGCATTCCACACACTGTGGAGACCAGTGGATTTCCAGATGAGTTAACCTTAGAACTTACTGGATCCAGAAGGAGCTGGACTGTTAGCACACCATTATCCTGTACTATAGTGCCAAAGGAACAGACACTAACGCAGCCTCGGTGCAGCATCCAGGGCTTTCAGGGATCCTGAAGGCTGGAGGGGTATACAGAATGGAAGATGGGGCTACAGATGAGGACTCATGGAACTGGGCCAGGCTGTGCAATCAGGAGCAGTTCATTGGGACAGGAAAGAGGCTGGGATCAAACAGCAAGATCTTTATTCACTAGGTCATGGATTCTGAGTTACCTAGGGCTCAGTGGCAGTTCTGAAAACATGAACATATCCCCTCTCTGGTTGTACAGTATCTAATGGGAAGAGAAAGAGCATGGCAACATGGTGTGTACCCTGACATGTAAAAACTCACATACAGTTTTTAAATGTGGGGGCTAAAGAAACTGGTAGATTAAACTAATACACAGCATTCCAGAGAAACTCCCCTTTTTATAGAAAATGTCCCTATACAGAGTATTATTTTTATATAGAAACAAACCCATCCTCATCTTAATTACAACTGTGGAGGGAACCGACAAGCTGAGACTCACTTCCTAACACTATATAGCAAACAGTGCTGTTCTGGTCCCAAGCCTCAGCTACAAAGGCCTTGGCTGGGAAACTGCTCTGGAGTCAGTGTTCTGCCAACCTCTGAGGGCTCACATTCCCTGCATTGTGCCATCAAGTCAACCATTCCAAACCCTCTGGAAACCGTTCTCCATGCCCTTCTTCTACAGGGCAGGAAGTAGAGAAGATCTAAAACACGGGCAGCAGCCTAAGGACAGGGAACATCTTACCACATGCCACCTGTTTCCCACAGCCCAATCAGAGGAAGTGGCTGCTCCTTGTGCCTGCACCCTGACCTTGATGGTGAGTGTTCTACCTGCTATGACGGAGAAGAGAGAAGAGACAACTTGGGCTGGGTCCTAACCAAAGTCTAGGAAGACAAAGATGAAATTCAAAATATTTAGACAAACTAAAAATGCATAAAAAAGTCAAAAGTTCTTAGCTGACTACTAGGGCTGCAAGTAACTGTCATGTGAAGCTGTACTGAAATACGATGAAGTCTAACCTGATCGAGTTTGGTTACACAGAGAAGGCTAAGTAACGAGAAACATTAATCTCCACTGGAATTCTCATTACCATGAGGCATGCTCTGTGATCTGGCAGGATTTTTTGGCCTCTAAAAGACATAAATGAACCTGGCATGGTGACACACACTTCTAATCCTGGCACTTAAGAGGCAGAGGCAGGTGGATCTCTCTGAGTTTGAGGCCAATCTGGTCTACACACTGAGCTCCAGGACAGCCAGGACTACATAGAGAGACCCTATCTCAAGAACCCAAAACTAAACTAAGAAAGAACTCCACGAAATCTTGTGAAGCTCTAGTGAGGAAAATCACACGAGGAAGCATCAATTCAGTAACCAAGGGCAGATCCTGAGCCCCCAGACACGCCCCATGTTAACTTGGGACACTGTCATGAGCACACTTGTCATAAGGCAACCCTGCCAGTTTAAGGCCTGCTGTGAATTCCTGCCCCTTCATGCTTTCAGAATAATTAGTCAGGTTTTGATCCAATATTAAATATTTGCTCTGCATTCTCATTTACTTCTGCTTGTCTAGGGTGGCCTTTCACATTAAATACATGACCAGGCATCCTTTAAACTTTTCTTACTGTTTTGGCCCAGATCTTGGTTTAGATTTACGAAGCTGTTACAAGGTACGGTGTGTGAATTTGCCTTCCGGCTGAGATACAGGGCAGAGCAAATAACGTTTAGAACAATGATGCTCGGAATGCCAGGGCTGCTTCTGCACTTCCACTGCCAAGAATGGTTTTCAAAACCTTTGACTGTGGCATCTACAAATGGCTCCATCATAGGGCAAACCATTGACCCTATCACTGTGATCTGATCCTCCTGAGATGATCCTGAGTGTCAGGGGACACTAACAACACAGAGCCACTGCTGAATGAGACCACCCCAATTGTTTCACTCCAATCAGCTCCAAGCTCAAGAGCAAACGGGGCAAAATAAAGCCTCAGGTTTCCCTCTGGGTGTTGGGAATTATTCCTTAGCTTAGTATATGAGCACTCTCTCAGCATGTGTGAGGCCCTGGTTTGGACCCCTAGTGCTGCCAGAAAACAAAGCAAACAAAAACCAAACAGTTACTGTTATGGCTATAGTTGGGTACTATTTAGTAGTAGCTAAATTTAAATAAAGTTTTAGAATTTAAAGAAGCAAGCTAATTTGCTTACATGCGGCATATAAGCTGTACAGTGTTTAAATGTTTTATGATATATCTGTAGGAGTCTGTATATATAACAATGTGTGTGCGGGTTAGAGGACAACCTGTGGGAGTTCTACCATGTGGGCCCCAGGAATCAGAGTCAGGCCACTGCACGTGACGGCAAGTGCCTTTACTTGTGGAGTCATCTCAGTGGACCCTGTAATACACTCTCTTATCTACACAGTCACCTTAATTCAAGTCAGACAAGTTAGCAGCTCCACTTACAGAAGCTATAATTTTAAATAAGACAAGCAAAGCCATTGTCCCGGAAGAAATCTACATCAAGGAGCCTCTCAGGTCTGAACAACTTAATGTAAATGGTTCTCTCAAGACCATGTTTGCCATCTGCTGTGGGACAATGGGTTGTACCCTGTCAATTGTATTTTAATAAAACGCTGATTGGCCAGTAGCCAGGCAGGAAGTAGAGGTGGGACAAGCAGGCAGGAAGTAGAGGTGGGGTGACGAGAACAGAATTCTGGGAAGAGGAAAGCTCATTCTGTAGTTGTGACCCAGCCTCAGAGGAAGCAAGATGTGACTGCTTCACCAAAAAAGGTACCAAGCCACATGGCTAACTCAGACAAGAATTATGGATTTCTTATAAGATACAAGAATTAGTTAATAAGAGGCCTGAGCTAATGGGTCAATCAGTTTATAACTAATGTAGACCTCTGTCTGATTCTTTCGGATTTAATGGCTGCAGGACCGGGCAGGACAGAAAAACCTCCGTCAATAGCCAATGGTGAACAAGCCTGCCTGGGGTGCCTGAGAACCTTAGCATGCACTGACAGACTAGAGCTCATTAAGTCTGGGTCTGTGCCTGGCTTTTCTAAGGCCCTCCTGCCGAATACTGGTTTTTATACTTCAAAGGGGAATTCAAAGTGTGAGGAGTATTTATGGAGAAGGGGTTCAGCAGGAGTGGAAGAGGATGAGAGAAATATGGACAGAAATGACAAAATACTATAGGTATGAAACAACACGAAAGAAATACACACATAGGTATGAAGTAAGAATTAAATCATGTCTGTCTGTAGTTTGTTTGCAGGCATGTATGAGGGGTGAGGGCTAGGGTACTTTATCTCCTCACACCGAATGGGAGCAGAAAATAGGGTTATTACAAAGACACCATTTAAGAGTTTTGAAATAAGCCTGAATGTCAGAATGAAATTTCGAATTCACAGTTCCCTTTCTTTTCCAAGAACAGCACTGAAGGGGGAGTGGGGGAGGCCTGGCTATGATAATCTTCAGTTACACAGCAGCATCGGCCTTCAGAGTTTCTCTTCACAGAGTCAACATCTTCTGGGGCCAGTCTGCTGATCAAGTCAATGTACCAGCCAGAGTGCTGTGGGAATTAGTAGCTCGGGGGAGAGTGCGTGCCTGGTGTGTGTGAAGTCCTGGGTTTGAGTTCCCAGCCCCAGTACTGCAATAAGAGTGCTGAATCAGGCCTATAAGCCCATCACTTGGGAGCTGGAGGCAGAGGGGACCCAAATTCCAAGGGTATCCTCAGAAGCATATTGAGTTGGAGGCCACCCTGGGCTACATGAGATCCTGCCTCCAAACAAACAAACACAAGTTCCAACTAGAGAAACAAATGCAGAATGGCACGGGAGAGCTGAACCTCAAGGTCAAGGCCCTCCTGTTCCGGAGCACAGCCTGTGAGCATCAGGATCCTTTCTCCCAGCAGCAGCAAAGAGCACCATCAGCACTACCCTGGCTCATGGGTTTGACCTGTGAGGCACAGAGCATCATCTCTGGCCCTTCCTACAGGGAAGTCACCCTTTCAGTAAGAACTTTCCATGCTAAGAAGCTGGTCTGAAGAGGAATTCCTGGTTTGGCATTTGAGATAAACAACCTTTCTACTTGTGAGTTGGGATAAGTAAGCCCCATTCTCTTGCGGGTTACCAAAGTCATGTGTGATGTGATGACTCTGGGATCTGCAGCGAGTATTTAAATCTCTCACAATTTCAGTTCTCTCCTGAGTGAAATGGAACTGACATAGTTAAGCTGAGCCTATTTTTAAAACGCTACAGAAGCGTCAGCATAGCCGTCACATGGCACTTCAGCAGTTTCGAGCCAGGACAGACGGGGCAAATTTCAATGGGGCAGGGTCTCAGAACTCATGTCAAGAGGGAAGACAACCTCTAGGAAACTGAAAAAAGTACCACAAAGAATATTCAAACTCTCCCCAAAGGCACAGAATTAACTAATTTTTCTGTTTATAACAATGGCCACATAATACCTGACTTTGTGTCTCAACACATAATTAATTATCCAGGCTTTAGAATAACAAGAATTTCACTCCCTCCACATATCCCAAGACTTAAGAAGGCCTGGTGTGTTGGGACATGCCTATCATTCCAGCACCCAAGAGACCGAGGCATGGGATCACGTGTTGGAGGCCACCCTGGGCTACACAGTGACAATAATACCAGAGCAAGTACACAAACAAAAAGACTCATGCAACATGATTTCCACAGGCCCAGAGTGAGGATTCAGTCATGTTATAATCAGTGCACTGTGAAGCTGCTATGAAGTCTAGTTTGTCAAAACTATTCTAACAGATGCACCAACCCACAACCCATCGACCAGTATTTACATTGCTATAGCTACCACGCTGTGATGGAAATACAGGTCAGTCTCCTCTCACAAAGGCCTCTCTTGCCATCTTGGCTCTATCACTACAAATGGGCATGTGGAGGAGTCCAGGATGACCGGCCTCTAGTCTCACTCCGCAATCAGCTCCTCCAGATCCCTCCTTCTGCCTACTTTCATGCACTCTAAAATGAGCTGCTCTTCAAAGACCTGCAAACTCACGTACAAAAGCTAACCTCATGATAAATTAGGACGATAAACTGACTTTTAATAAGCCAGACCTGGATGACCTAGTCACTGCGTAGGTACTTTCTTTCCCTCCCTTTATTCTGTTCTTATGACAGAGGGTTTGAACATGCTGGATAAATGCTCTACCACTAAATCACATCCTCACAGATCCCGTTTAAAGAAAGCATGTAAGAAGAAATGAAATTTATAAAAAGGAAAGAAAACCAAACCCACAGAAGCAGAGATGTTCCCTATGCTTTGTCCCCACCTCCAGGGTCTCCATTTCAAGTCTAAATGCAGACAATAAAAATACGACGAAGCACACTTACTCAGTGCTGTCTGGATATCTTTTTCCCCATTTTTCACTTCTGTCAAAAAGCCCTTTAAAAATTTGAGACCTCTAAAATGGAAGAGAGAAGAATATTATTTCAAAGTTCAGATGGCAGATGCTAGCTTTTATATAAGTGTCTCAGGCAAGGCAGGGAGCAGACAGGTTGAACAGAGGCCCTTCTGACTGGCTTCCTATTAGAAAGCTCTGGACACCCCCCTCACCCGCTCTGATATTCCTAATGCAGTGCTTCAAATTATAGTGCTGTGATTGTGGCTTTAGCATCATCCAGAATTCATTAGAAATGAAAATTCTAGAACCCCACACCAAATTCAGGGGTTCAGAAACTGGTTCTGAGTTCAGTGTTTCCCCAGGCACTGCCATCCAAGCGGAAAAACACTCACTTAAAGAGAAACTCAATGGCTTTCCTAGAATCCTGATCTTACAAATACTTCCACGATTCATAGCTATCACTATGAAGCTGATAAGACTTTCTAGAAAGTCTAACGTTTGGTGGATCCTTTATTCCAAGGCAACAGTGACCTGTAGCATCTCGGCTGAGCTGGACTGAGCATGTATTTGCTCCATTTGACTGCCTCACCTCTTCAGCCACAAGAGGGCTTCGGTCGCTGAGTTCCTAACCTGAGCTACATCTGCCTCCACCTCATGCAGCACTATCTTCTGGAGGGTAGTAAACTCTTCCTTGTTGGTTATGTACTTCTGATTCACCTTCTGGAAAACGAAAACAAGAAACAGGACAACTGCCTAAGATGAAAACTATATATTACCAGTTGTATCAGTACAATATTCAAATTTAGAAGCAAGAAGAGTCTAAGAAGCCAAAGCGAGACTTTACTATCCTCCTTATGTTTTCAGGGTGAGTGTTTTAAACATTCCAAAAATTCTATGAGGCTTTAAGTAACATCAACAGTCACAGGTTTTAAGCAATATTCTTGAGGGACCTTTGCCCACCTCTGAACATTCACTGTGTGAGTGACTCCATATACCTCACCACCTCTCCAAACATGCCGGAAAGGTATCCACAGATACCTTCCAACTTCTTCAACATAGCATACCTGGTGGTGGGGACTGTATTCTAATTTATTTTTGAGATAGGGACTCTCTACATAGCCCTGGCTGCCCTGGAACTCACTCTGTAGACAGGTTACCATTAAACTCTCAGAGATTCTCCTGCCTCTGCCACGCAAGTACTGGGATGTTAGATGTAATACAAACAACTCTGGCTTTTCTGGGAAGGAGGCTCAGACTTCCTGTTGATGACGGCTCCACAGATGTACCAGAAAGCTGGCCTTTTGAGTAGCCCCAGACAAATGATAGCTTTTGCTAGTGACATTTGTGGAGAAATGTTCCTTGTTATTGTTTAACTCCAAAGTGCATGCAATCATTGCCGACATGAGTGACTCTCCACTGACCCAGCTCTGACCTTTAAAGAGGTCAGGCTACCAAAGGCTTGTTTCTATCATATATCAGGGCTACCTCAGTCATTCTGCTCCTGAAATTTCCTAGTGTGAATGATTTCCCCCCCTCTGATTTACTCTTGTCAAACACAAAAGGAGTGAAAACCATTCCTTTATAGACACGGCTCTACAGAGACAAGTCAGTATATTCACCTTGATATTTCCAACAAGATCCATTTTCACAGGCGCAAACACTGTAGGACCAAGTTTGTCTGAAAGACAGTAGTGGAAATATTTTTGAAAAAGTTTTTTCTTTTAAATGTAGGAAACACACACATGTAATAGAAAATATCTGTACAGTAATAACACGTTTAGAAGATCTTTTCTCCAATATTACTCTGACTTCTAAGTAATTTTCTAAACATAGGCTTTGGAACTGGACTTGGTCAGCAGCGCTTCACTCTCATGCTGCCGAGATGAGTCCCAGTAACCAGGTCCTATGTGGTACATCTGATGAAAATGCCTCTTAAGTTTACAGTTCCCATTTGAGATCCTTTAGGTTGGCTTCGTACTTGCTGAATCGAAAGCCTAAAATACACTATTAGATTTTAAAGATTTGTTCTCAGAGAATGAAAATTACCTCATTAATGGCTATCTGTAATGACTGCATGTTTCTATCACATTACAGATATGCTATATCTCAAAAGATATATTAATTTTTATTTTACTATTTTAATATATCTTCTATAAACTGAAAATAACATGCGGTTTGATTAAACTACTAATTTTAATTTTGCTAGGTCTAACTTACTAATTTTAATTATTTAGGTTTACTAAACATAATCCTTAGAGTATAATATAAAAGGAGCAGAGAAAAAATAATGAATTCTAAAAAGTATCTGATTTTTAAAAAAGGTTCAAAACAACATAGTCAAAAACAAACCCACATACGAAACAAAACAGCATACTGAAGAACAATAGCTTTATTGGCTCAAAGCCAGAAAATAAGAACAAAAAGGACAAAACAGAAAACACAAAATAAGATGGTAGAAACACAGCAAAACAGGAATGAATGTAAATGAATATAAAAATGTAGTTCATTATATAGGTAATTACCAGAAAAACATAAATTTCAATAGCTGCAGAAAAAACACTTTATAAAATTATCTGATTTCATGGCTATAAAAACAACTACCAGCATACAACAATGCATCTACATATATTAATAGTACATATGTAAATATGAAACCCATAAAATTCCGAAGTTTATTCCAAATAAAACACAAAGTTTTTATTTAGAGAAAATAAACATAATAAAATGTATATATGTATATTTATATATTTCACATACTTGTGTATATAAAAATACATTAAATTAACACACACACATATATCATACTAATGGACTAGAAGGCATAATGTTAGGTAATTTTCCTCAGATGGCTTACAAATTCAATGCAGTTTTAATCAAATCCCAGAAGCCTTTTAATAGGTAAGATAAAACTAAAATTATACATACCTGTAAGGGACCTAGAATTGCCAAAAAACAATCATGAAAAGAAATAAAATTGGAAGACTTACAATCTCTGATTTTGAGCTTTACATACTTAAGACTCTAAGGAAATACAAACAAATCATGGGAGCAGAAAAGAGACCCATTTTATAGGTCTACAGGTCTGGGAGCAGATGGCCAGGGCAACCTAAGAAGATACTGGCCATTGTTTTTCTTGGCAAATGGTTCTTAAATAGCTAGATTATAATTAAGACAAAACTGACCCTCAGCCCCAACATCATGACACATAACGAAAAGAAAGTTCCTCCCTGCCTTTGGTCCCTAGCACTCATGGCTGGGGGATGGGGCACATGCTGACAGTCTCGATACTGGTGGGGACACGGGAGTTAGAGGCAGGAAGATCCTTGTTTAGCTACAGGCCATAAGATACTTTGTCTCAAAAAAAACAATGTGGGTGGCATAAGGAAGACCACCCAAAGTTGTCCTCTAGCTTCCATAAGAGTGTGCACTTGTGCACACGTACTCTAGCACACATGTGCACACACATAAACACACATACACCTATACACACATCATAAATATAAAAATTAAAGATCTAGAAAAATTATGAGAAAGCATCTTTATGATGCTTGATTAAAAGTAACCATAGGACAACTGAAAACATTAACACAAAAATCAACTTTGTCAAAATATAAAACTTAATTTTCAAAAAACAGAGTTACAAAATGATATTTTAAAACATAAATAGGCAAATGAAGAGTCTGTGGGAGAAATATTTTTGATCCACTTCTATAATGGGATTTTACTTGGAATATTTAAAGAATTCTCAAAATTCAATAATACAAACATCTTCAGTAATAGTACCCTAAGTAATAAAAATAAACGATTTAAACATAGGCTAAATTTGGAGAAACACATCACAACAAAAAAATATTTCAGTGGCAATAATTGTATGATAACATACTCAACACCACAGTCACTGGTAAGTGCAAATTAAAGCTACCACGGGGGCCACTGAAGACACAAGGATGGCCTAAACTTGAAGTACCTACACCAGCAAATGTGAAGAGGTGAAGCAACTGCAATCCCAGCATGAGGCAGCTGTGAGTGCGCAGCTGTGCTAGCGTCTGCTCCTACAGGCTATCACAAAGGGTTAGTAATTCAGTGACTCAGTAACACTGGAAGTTCTTGTCCTAGACACCCGAGAAAATGAGGAATATACACACCATGGGGATGAATCTCCAAACACACATAGTGAGGAATGTCAGATACAAGAGTAGACAACAGGATTCCACTCAGATAGACAAGGAAAAACTAAACTATGGTGCAATTACTGCCTCAGGCTTCACAATGAATTGGGAAACAACTGGCACAGGAATGTTCTAGGGTGATGAAAATGTCCTCTACTTTGACAGGAATGTAGAATATATAGGTAGGTGCATTTATCAAAATTACAATCACAACACTTAAGTTCTAGATGCAAGTTATACCTCAACTTAAAAAAACATGAAGAGGGTTTGGGAGATGTTTAGTGTATGGAGCACTTGTTCAAGCATGAAGGCCAGAGTTCAGGTCCCCAGACCTCATGCCAAAGCTGGGAAGGTGCAGAAACCACCTATAATCACAGTATTTGGGAGGCATAGGATCTGAAAGAGGAGCACTGTAAATAAAGTGGAGACTGATGGAAGAAGACACCTGACATCAACCTCTAAATCCTACATATATGCACACACAGTGCACCCACTCCCTCATACATATTAACACACATACATTCACATGCTCCACATACTCAAATGAGAAACAAGGGAAAACATACATAATAGATCATAGAGTAAATTTCAACACATTAACAATTTACTACCTTTATACTAAGTAAATTAAACACATACACACACATATGCAGGATGGAGAATACTCCAGTCAAGACTCAACTATAACCCTAAATTTTCTCAGGGTCCCCCAAAGATTACCAGCAGCCCCAACCAACAGGAAGTAGTCTAGAAACTATGTCCACATTCCCCAAAAATGGGTTATAGATATTTATTATCATTTAAGGGGGGTTGATTACAAACTGTTACTGGTCATAATCCGGAAAAATGCTAAACAAAGGAGTAAAATTCAAAGATCTCTTTCTAAAGGAAAAAAAAAAAAAGGACAGGATTTAGAAATAATACAATGAAAGGGAAGGTTATTGAATCTACTTTAATCTAAAAACAACTATTCATCTTTAAAATTTTACATTGGTATGGATTTTGGCATGTAAGTTTAAAGTTAATTTTGTTATACTGTAGGTATATTCCTACTCTTATTTAAGGTATTGTGTTTATGAAGCTCATTTAAAAATGTAATATATAACTGAAAAATACAGACTAATAGTCATCTATAATAGTTAAACTTATAGTCATGTTAGGTATGTTTTCAAGGTCATGCAGATATATTTAGATAGACAGACAGACAGTCTTCAAACATTTCAAAGACCTACAGAATATGGCACTTAATATGTTTAATAACCTAAGGTTTGTCATGACAATGAGACACATCTGCTCCTGGCAGCACCAATATACTTCAAAGAAGATGATGGGATCGAAGAAACTCCATATGCTGTTTGTTTTCTTTATGGCAAAAGCTAGTTGTGCGGCCAAAGAACTTGCCCTTGCCCCAATTGCTGACAAAATACTGTCCAAACTGAACCAGCAGTATGCAAGAAAGGCAACTGCGAAACTTTGCTAAGAAAAGGTAGGACAGTCCTTTAGAATTCCTTGCTTCAAAGGAAAGGCTGTCAGGTATACCAGGTCTGTAGGCCATAGCTGGATGCCCTAATGTCACAAAAGAACCTAGGTGCTGCCCAGACAGCCTGATGTCCCTGTCACTAAATAACAGTTCACCCTTTTGGGGCCTTTGATGGAGCTGAAGACTAGATAGTTATAGTTTTCCTTAGTTATGATAAAAATGTAAATTATATATAAAACTTTAGACTCATCAAGATAAGATAAATAATAAAATATCATCTGCAATTTTGCCAAATACAAATGGACTGGCTATTTTAACTGTAATTTTTGCTTAATAACTGTTTTTTTGTATATAATTTTACTATGTTAAAATTAAAATCTTAGGCAAAAATGGGAAAATGCTGTGGAATAATCCTTTTGTGTACACTGTAAAGATTTGCCACTCAGATTTGTTAAATAAACACTGATTGGCCAATAGCAAGGCAAAAAGTATAGGTAGGGCAATCAAATTGAAGATGCTGGGAGGAAGAAGGCTGTAATCAGTGGAGCCACCGAAACAAGACTTGCAGAAAATGAGGTAAGAAGCTATTAGGCATGTGACAAAGCATAGATAACAAATTTGGGTTAATTTAAGTATAAGAGTTAGCTAGTAAGAAGCCTGAGCTATTGGTCTGGCATTTGTAATTAATATTAGGCCTCTGAGTGATGATTTGAGAGTGGCTGCAGAACAGGAAACTCCAACTACATATACATCTACATATATACACACAATTTATCTTAAAAGACTTCTTTTGACTGGTAAGCTATTTCCCCATAGTACTGATAAAAGGTCTGTTCCTGGCCTACCTCCACTTTGTCGTACTGATGAAAGACCTGTTCCTGAACTACCTCCACTTTGTATGAATATTTTCTAGAAAGCAGAATTCCCTGTTTTTATTATACTACCCTAAGATCAATAACTTAATCAATTAGAAATGGAATGGGAAAATACAAGAGTGTTTAAGTAACACAGTTTTCACTGTGTGGCAGGTGATGCCAAAAGCTGAGAAGAATCAACTTACTGTACATAGTTCAGAATATTTATCATTTGAATTAACTGTGATGGGAAAACAGTCTAGGAACTAATGAATATAATGCAACTGTAGCAATCTTACCCAGTACTGGAACCACTGCATAACAAGACGCCAAGAACGCTTCTGTGGGAATGCCACTGTCTTCCAGAAGTTCAATGTCACTAAAGCTGAACAATTTGGTGACATGGAGAACGGAAGATTAAAACCACAACAGCACTCTGCAGTTCAGAGATGTTACAGAAACAGCTTTTTAGGAAAAACCACTTTGCCTGATTTTAGAGTAGCCCCAGACATTATTTTTCTATTATGAAACAATCCATTAACATAATTTTACAGAGATAATCCACCCTGATAATCCAAATCCTTGGTCACAATTGATTTCTCAAAAGGGAAGATAGGGTCTGATTGTCAGGGAGTTTAAAGGGCCTGGAATACCTGGCACTCATGGCACTGAAGAAAGTTGGGATAACTTCTTCATTGTTTTCCCAGACAGATTCAGGCGAGGAAACTGAGTCTGGCCCAGGCTGTGCCAGCTCACTGTCTTGATTCCCCAGGTTTTTCTCTCCATCTTCCTCCAGTATCTCACCTTGGATTACAAAGTAAATGATATCTATCACTAAGTTCTTATATATTATTATAAAAATTAACACACAATCATTAGTGGAAATTTCTAAAACATAGAACAGGAGAAGCACATATACACACACCTGTATGTAAATTTATTTTCAGTCATCAGTGCATCACAATTACTTCACTATTGTTCAGTACTCTTCAAAAACATGATGCATTGGTTTTTGCAATATATTTATTGATATATTTTGTATATATGTGTGATCAGAGGACAACTTGGAGGAGTTGGCTCTCTCCTCCCACTATATGTATTCTAGGGAATCCAACCCGAATCATCAAGCTTAGTGGGAAGTGCCTTTACTCACTCAGCCATCTTGCTGGTCCCTGAAACATGATTTTAAGGACCTCATGGTAACAGGTACAGCAATGCAAGAGGCTTTAGTGATTTCTAAGATCTTTCTCCTACAAATATAGCCAATCCTGGTTGTAAGCATATTCTTTGTCTGTGATTTGCCCACTTGTGAACATTTACTTGTGAATCCCAAATCAAGACTTGTGGTACTTTTTAGCTAGTCCTGGCAGCGCAGGGTGGTACAAACTTGTTACCAAGGATGCATGGGCTTAGGTGTTTGTCTTGCTTCAATTCTCATGCCACAAATGCCTTTGTTTACTACCATGGCTTCCGTATGTGTGTACCCTTTGTAACTAGTTTTGTAGTTTAAGAAGGCTCCAGGCAGTAATACCGTCTGGAGTGTATAAACAAGAAGTCTGAGATACACCTTCATGAAAAGAGTATGTGTGTGGACAAACTTCATTTAAACATGAGTTACGGTTGATGGCTGATGTCTGCTCTGAGTTCGATGTTTATCCAGACCACATAGGTGTTTTTAAATAGAAAAGGGCATTAGAGCAATGTTATTCATTGATTAGCTAGCTGATCAAAACCACAGAACTGTGGAAAGCAAACTATTCCCTTGAGCACTCACATACTGGGTGACTTCACACAGTATAAGCACAGTACACGAGAACTGACGCTCATGCTGTAAAGAGCCTGTCCAAAGGTCTGTGGCCGCAGACTCCTATAGGGAATCTTTACTCAAGAGACCAGACTTTTAAAGGACGTGTGTTACTTTTATCAGATCCACATCCAATAGCTTCTAGGACTAACACAATTTTAAAAAACTTGACTTGGCTAGAAAAATAACAGAACCTTTTATTTTAAGATAACTATAGAAGAAATTAACTCATTTAAGTACTCAGACTTAAAATCATTTAGTAAGCACCTAATACACAACTACAAGTTCTAGTATAGTTAATCTGGCTGATATGAAGACAGAGCCTTGTGATTAGTGCCAATGTAATTAGTAAATCTGAAAGGACATTATTCCCAACTACACGGGTATTACCTGGAATTTGGCGTGACTAACTCACAGAAGTATGGCGGCTGGTAAACTGTGACATCGTCAGGCTCTACTAGAAACCAGAAGATTGAAACACTTAAGCTGCTCTAATGTTATACACCAAGTCTAACATCACAGTCTGGGTTCAGTAGAAGCTGGGATATTGTGGAGGAGTCAGTGAACTACTTAGACCTGCCAGAACACAGCCATGACAGCCAGCGCCAAGACGGGGTAACAGAATGCTGAACAGTTCCGTGACCTGCGGTAGCAGGCTCCCTTAGGTCAGCGGCACACTTGGAGGCTAATCTGTGTCAGTGTCCTCCTGAGTCTACTGTTCAATACAGCATAGAAAACTTTCTTTTGACATCACCTGTCACATGATCATCTGTGTTTTCTTCACTTGACATGGTGCAATCTACCTCTGTGGATTTCAAATACAAGGAACTCTTGGTTTTCATCAGGATTTCTTCATCACCGTTTACTTCCATATTTAAAGATCCATTTTCACAACTGTTCAACTCCATCTGCCTAAAACAAATGGTTTAAAAGAAAACATAATTTGCCACAGGTTGCCCAGATGTTACTCTAGGGGACAGGAAGATCCACAATCACTAAACACTGATTAAAAATAGATATCTTAAACTAAACCAAACCTCTCAGTCTCCTGAAGACACCAAAGCAAGAACAGAAACCAAACCACTAAAGCTGAGTATGGGGGCTCATGCCTGTAATCCTCTCTCTTAGGACACTAGGCAAAAGGATTATCATCATCCTAAGGTAACCTGGGCTATAGATTAATACCCACTTTAAAAAAAATAAACAAGGAGCCTTAATGGCTTTTCCTATGCCACGTGTCCTGGTGACATCATCTTAGGCTAACCTGGGCTATAGATTAAGACCCTCTTTTTTTAAATAAATAAATGAAGGAAGGGAGGGAGGGAGGGAGGGAGGGAGAAGGAAGGAACCCTTAATGGCTTTTCCTGTACCACATGACTCAACCTCCCTGCTTTCCACCAACATCAGGAAATGATCAGGGAAGCTCTTTAGTGTGCAATAAGCTTTCTTCTCCAGGTGCCACATTTAACACTTAGCTGACTTTCTTCAACTTCTCCCTGGGAGGTTTTTCCTCATCACACTGGCTACTTAAACATGTTTGCTTAGTAGTCAATCATCTGAAGAGGCAGCTGTGGCCAGCAGAGACTTCTCCTGTCAGCAGGAGGATCACAGGGGACTGAGACTACATCAGGGCAGCAGAAAAAGCTGTTTGACACTTCAATGAAACAGCTGATTCTGTTCAAAGGGATGTGGTATCTTATACCCAAAGTAAAGCAGTAACAGGACAGCATCCAAGCTACACAATGATTCTAGCAAAAGAAAAAATTTATTTGAAATGCATATACAAATCTACAGTAAAAACTGTGGACACAGACAGAGCCAAAGTCTGAAAAGAAACAGAAATTTACAAAAATGTTTCTAGTAAAAATATCTGAAAAGGAAAAAAATTAGTGACCAAATTGAGGACAATCTTTCTAATAACAAATCCACATACACGCACACACACACACACACCATATAAAGGGATGAACTTAGTAATTTGAAAGGATAATGTGCACCATATCAATTCGTGGAGGTGCTTACACAACTTTATTCTTTTTATGAGTAAAGACCCTGACAACTGTGTAATGGGAGCTTTTCCTTTCTTGGTGGTACTACAGAGACTCAAGTCCACACACACAAGCTAAGTGAGAATTGTACCACTAAGTTACACAAACTTGCAGCACGTGTGTGTGTGTGTGTGTGTGTGTGTGTGTGTGTATTTAAAAGCAAAGAATAATTTAGAGGAATGGTACTAGTTTAGATTTTGCTAGCAAGTTATCCTTCCACTTCTGGAGCTACTTAAAATACTCATGTCTAAATAAAACAGAGAAGCAGCTCTAGTTTTCCTGGGAAAACCACGCTGCAGCCAACACCAAGCTCTTCGACATGTTCTGACTCTCAGCAACTCTACACAGATCAAGTCAGGGGATGTGACAGCAAATCTGCCCAATTCTGCCGACTGTAGTTTAGCTTCACACAGGGAAGTCTGTAGTTTGCTGCTGGTACCATCTCAAATCACATCACGACACCACTGTTTCTTTACAATGAGGAACACGGTATACAGGTTTCTAACTTTTAGAAGGAAGAGGAACAAGAGTTACTATACCTTTCCATTGAATTATGAACTGGTATGATAGGATGTTTCATCTTAAAAAAAGCAAAGAAATGAAAGTTCATGTGTTAAATGGCAACAGTGTTATTTAGAATACCATCAAATAGGAAAGTGGTCAATACAGTCATAAAGTCATAATACAGATTGCCTTCCTCAAGGAAAGAATTCGAAGTCCCCTCCAAACGAAGTGCATCCAACTATCTCAGGAAAGGAAGACAGGTTTTGAAAGATCTCATAGCTAAATTCCTAGTGACCAGCTCTTTTTGTAATTTGTTAGCCTTACTCAGTATTAATAGTTAGCAAATTTTGGTGAAGCATTATACCCAACACTAGCAGCATGAAGGTAAGCATTATGGACATTCCTGCCCTTAAGCCAACAGAAGTTAGGGAAATAGGGGAGTGTATGAGAAGAGATCTTCTTAGTCCAATGTAGGGACTGAGGGAAGATTAATGGAGACAAGCAGGGGCTAAGCCGGGAGAGAAGAGTGCAGTCTCAGCACTGAAAACGACACAAGCAACAGCTCACTCAGGCTAGGTACTGTCAGGGGGAAAGCAGGTGACACAGGAAAGGGCTACACAGTTTTGGTCTGAGCGAAAGGTTTAGATAAAATCCAATTTACACTCCATTACTATTGGCTAATGGAAGGGCCAGACTGACTAGTAAGGTAACAGTATTCTAGGGAAGACTCTTTGGGGATATAGAAAAGAGGCTAAAGGAGAGTATGAGGAGTCAAACTACTAAAAATAACTGATGAGACAGGGGACTAAGGGCAAATACAAAAGTGTAGGTAAAGCAAACCACTCTATAAACAGTATTAGCCACGAAAGGATGTGTCCTTAAACGTCTAATGTCCCACAATGCTGCTGGAGAGAAACTGAGTTGGTGGATTCTTACCTTGCTGGACTTAAGCACCGCTAGCTGAGGGGATCCTGGGGGAGTATGGTAGAGAAGCTCAGAGGTGAAGGCTGCATTTGCAATCTGCATGCATTCCTCCAAGGTCTTCAGGAAAGTGTTGCAGGTTGATTTCAGCAGAGTTCCCACATCGATTCCCTCCTACATAACAACCAGGAGAAGAGTCGTTTTTTTATCTTGCTAGAAGATGAAAAACTCAATTGTGTTATGTCCTGAGAAGCTTGTATTCGCAAAACAATATTAATATACCCAGTAAAGATGTTGCTGGATAAATAAGCACATGAGTTACAAACAACAGAAATGAACTAGCCCAAGTTATCATATACACCCTCTCTGTTCTGACCCTTCATTTGCTCACCGCTCTAGCTAACACCAACTTCTTTTGGCCCTGCACAATAAGCTAGGTGCTAGGTGCTGGGCATAGATGCAGGCACTGTGCATTGTTTGCTCCCAGTGTGGATGATTCACAGGCTTATGATAACTGGAATTTTATTTTCTTCTAAGGTAGTTTACTTGTCTGGGCGTTTTGCAGCTGTATATTGATATATGTAAGATGTTCATGAAATATCTGGAGCAACACTCTTGACTAGAGATTGAAGAGATGACATGTAGTTTTAATAACGGTCCCAGGTGATGCTGTCGGTTGTAATCCATATTTGTTATCAAGTTCCCAAGTCTCTCACTGTAATTTAATTACAGACGGCTATGTTCACTCTAGATCTGGCTTCTATCCTGGCATCCCCGAAACTTTGGGTTAGTATGTGTGTGTACGTCTGTATGGTGGTTTGAATAGGAATGGCCCCAGAGACTCATATATTGAATGGTTAGTCATCAGGGAGTGGCACTCCTTGAGAGAGAGCAGGAGAAGAGCCTTGTGGAAGTAGGTGGCCTTGCTAGAGGAAGCGTGTCACTGCGGGTGGACTTTGAAGTTTCAAAAGCCCAATCTAGGCCCAGTGTCTCTCCCTTCCTGCTATCTGTGGATCCTTCTGCAGCACCGTGTCTATCTAAATTCTGCCATGCTCCCTACTATGGTGAAAATGTATTAAACCTCTGAAACTGTAAGCAAGCCCCAACTAAATGCTTCCTCTTATAAGCACTGCCTTGGTCATGGCATCTCTTCACGGCAACAGTATAACAACTAAGATAGTCTTTTTGTCTGTCTGCTGCTTACAGGGGTAAAATCCAATTCTCCTGCTCATTCGAAGAAGTTTAGTAGTACCCCTGGATTCTAAACAGTATATACCAATGGCACTTCCTCAATCTTGACATTCAAAATGTCCCCAGATACAAAACCTGCAGGTTGGGAGCCCATGCTCTAGAATATAAATCCTTTAAGAACAGGAATGAAATGGCTTTTGGATCTTCTCTTCTGTCATCCCCACAAACACAGTGTGCTACACTCAACAAGGCAGCTGATAAATGATCTTAAAAAGTCAAAGAAAGTGAATGAAAGTGAGTTAAACTAGCTTAACAGAAAGACTTCAAAACAGTATTAGTGAGAGGGTTTTCTAATCCCTAAGGAAATGAACTGACACTCGTATGTATAAGCTCTGGACTCCCCAGGCTGTAGACCAAAGCTGCCTGAGAGCACTGCAGAGACCCTCTCTGAGTCAAGGCGAGTAATTCCACACACAGACAAATGGCTCTTTTTCTGATGTTTTGAGATGACTAAACAGCAACTTTATTAACAAATGGTAAAGTTCCAGATCCTCAACTGGGCAGGATGCACATGCCTACAATCCCAGTACTCAGAAAAAAAAAAAAAAAAAAAAAAGAACTTCAGTAGGAAGGTTTAGAGTTTAAAACTAGCCTAAGCTGAATAGTGAGATCCTGCCTCAAAATAAATAAATAACTAAATAATCAAAATCCTTGCTGGCATGTATCCATCTCTGAAAACATGGGGCTGTTTCAGAGCACATTTACTGTGCCAGAGAACAGTCCTGTCAGTCTCACCAGGAGTGACGGACAGACATCATGCTGACATCTTAGTAGGCACATGTAAAGAAACAGTTCAGTTATACAGGTAAGACAGCTATTTAAAAAGCAGTGCAGCCGGCTGTTGGCGGCTCACGCCTTTAATCCCAGCACTAAGGATGTAGGAGCAGGCAGAACTCTGTGAGTTTGAGGCCACCCTGGCCTATAGAATGAGTTCCAGGACAGGCTCCAAAGGCTAAAAGAGAAACCCTGTCTCGAAAAACCACAAAGGGGAAAAAAAAAGACAGTACAAACCGGGAAGAAACACACTTTCTTTTTTCTTAATACTAAAGCTAAAACCCCCCATATTATGGGATTTTTATGGATTCATCAGAAGTTCCTGTGAGGGTGGGAAAGTATGTTCTTCCAAGCAGGGCAATGCATGCATTTCTGTGCAGAATTCTGCCACCGTCTCCTAAAGAGCAGTCAATATCAAGATAGCCAGGAATTGTTAGAGAATAAATGCCCGCAGGTGATCTGACACCACTTTTCTGTATCATTTCAGTAATGTCACAAAAACAATACTTTACCTCAGAGTCAGCAACACCGGATGTGGCCACTTCTTTTGTTTTATCAACTTGCTGAACAAGGAGGTCACAGTATAGCCTTAGTTCCGACATTTTGGTTTTCAAGTTTTCAGTGTTTTCTGCAAATTCTAAGTTAACACCAAGAAGAAAAGGTAAAGCAGTCAGTCACCAAAAGGAACAGCCATGTCCACCTTAGTCGCTGCATAGAAGTAGAGGAGTAACTAAGGCCTCAGATGAGGGTTATGGTGTATGTTTCAGATGTGATAGGTAAAGATATGGGAGGGACAAAAGAGGGTATACCCTAGCTATTTCTTGAGACAATGCCCTAAACAATCACAGATTCACAAAGAGTCTGGGGAGCCCCCTCTCCTGGGAACTGGGAGCAGAGCCAGAGCTCAGCGTTGTGGTCTGAGTCTGCCTCTCTGTACTATGGGATCATAGTTATCTGCCCACCGGGAACAGCGTTCTGTCTGAGGACTGGTTGTACATGCGCCCATCAGGGTTAATAGCACCTAGTTGTAAACAGCAAGGTTCTACCATCACCTTAGTGCTGAGGGATCAGAAACAATTGCTCCACTTCTGCTTCCTTTTCACTGAAGTGTTACACATTATCACCTGCTTTGAGTCCAGCCAACAGCTGAGAATTTGTTCCCGATTTAGCACCAAAACAACCAAGGAAGAGGCCACTTTATTGGGTCTACTTGAAGAGTAGGACTTCTCCCTCTGTCACATGAAAGGCTCCGTCAGCACAGCCAATTTCCTCAAGGTACACATAGGCTTGTGGAGTTTTGACAGTTGTAACCAGGGGCCAGGAAGCAAGCCTTGACACTCTGAACCAGTGCAAAGAAAGTCCATCATGGTGCTCAGACCAAGTGACACCAGTGAGCATTAAGCAGCAGCAACATGGTAACAAAGTCTCCACCCACCATAGGGGGAAAGCGGAGAGCAGGTGTATACTGCAGAGAACACCCTGACCCGAGGCTTGTCTGGATCACCCACTCTTCGCCAACAGACCTCACAGTCATCCTTCACAGGCAGAAACCATCACCTTTTCAAAGATGAGGTGAATGAAGCTCAGAAAAATTAAGTGACCAATGGCAGAATCATTCAGCTATGAAGTACTGATACATCATTCAAGCCAGGTGTGTCTGGCTCTAGTGGCTTCATGTTTTTTACCAGGCTAAGAAAGCAGAATTGGAATTAGGTAGGGACCCTGGTTTAAGTTCTGATTAAATGCATACATAGCATTTCAACAATACAAACCCTGGGTTAGAGAATCCAGTGATGCCTCTGGGTAATTCCCAAGGTTCTGGGACAAGAGGACAATCAATACTTGCCTTTTTCCTTCTGGGTCCTACTATCTGTCAGGCAGGCCTTAGCAGACCCCAGGGCCACTAGCCACCGCTGTCTCTCTGCCACACTTCTGGCTTTTAAGTAGAAATATTGTTCCCCAGGGATGATCAGGTCCATACGAGTGTTATCCACAGAATGAACTAGAAGCAAGAGGGTGAGACTAGGTAAGAACTGCCTGGGTAGCTCTACCTCAACTTCCTATTTTGTTAAGATTGATTATTTATTTATTTATTGGTGTGTTTGGGGGGGGGGTGCATATGCCTGATGCCTGTGTGTATGCCAAGGCCAGAAGAGGTCAGCTCTTCTCCTCTGTCACTCTCCAGCTATTCCTCTGAGGCAGAGCTGCTCCCTGAGCGTGTGTTCTCACAGCTAAGGTAGAAGTCAGCAAGCCCCAGAGATCCTCCTGTCTCTGTCCTTCTCAGATCTGGGGTTACAGGAGTATGCAAGATGCCTGGCTTATTATGTGCGTGCTGGGATCAAAATTCCAGTCCCTATTATTGGACATCAAGTACTTTTAACCACTGAGCCAACTCTCGAGCCTCCTGACAGAGAGAGGGGCCAGTCCTTACCAACTCTTCTAGTGACACTCATTTCTGTCCACTTGCCTTTCTCCACAGCTTTGCTGATCAAGAAGGGAAGCCTTGCAGGGTACAGTGGCACACACCTTTAATCCTAGCACTTGGGAGGTAGAAGCCACTGTTTGCAGGTAATTACACAGTTCTCACAGGGTTCTGATTAGTACTTGAGGGGGGTCATTACACAGGAACAAAGGCTCCTCCCTGGTTTTTTTGGCTTCCTATGTGAACCTGCCTTCCCTGCAATCTATCACACGCTGCCATCTATCACGGTATGGCATACCCAGTGTGCCCTAACCAGAGTTAGCACTCTCCTGTTTTAGATGTTTATATTCTAATAGTATTAGCTAAATAAAATGATTTTCTTCATATATTACCCAGACTTGAGTATTTTATTATTACAACAGAAAACAGACCAATATACCTGCTAACAAGCAGGGGTACAGTCTTTATCTCCTTGGATATTCTAGGAAACAAGAACACATTCCCCCTTTCTACTTCCCTTGAACAGTCAGACCAATGTGTGGGTCTTAGAACCCTCGGGGCTCTTCCAGAGAAACCAGCAAAACATGTTCTCCGTCACTTTCCCCAAACTAGTCCCACTGAATAGTTGAAGAGTTAGGAACACCTCAGCCACATAGCTCACTGTCTCAAGATTCCAAAGCTAAGAAGTGAGGACTATTTGCTGGCCCCAGAGGTATCTGCTTACTGTGACTGTGATTTAAACACAACCGCGTTTGATGCCAGAATAAAATCACTGATGCCTTACGAACAATCTCTGGCCCCAGGTGGGCAGGTAAGGAATGGGTGCTAAGTGTGAAGATGGCGCTCACACCACTCTCACCAGCTCTCCTTTATTTCTTTTTCCTTTTTTTTTTTTTAAGAAAACAATGTTTTCTCATTTTTATGTACCAAGCCCAAGCCTAGTTCCCACTCCCTCCCTTCCCCCTACCCCCCCTCCCCATCCAGTCCTCAGAGAGGATAAGGCTTCCCATGGGGAGTCAGCAAAGTCTGGCAGAGCACTTTGAGGCAGGACCAAGCCCCTCCCCCCTGTATCGGCTGAGCAAGGTATTCCTCTATAGGGAATGATGGGCTTTTGGATCAGTCTTAACCCATCCTGGAAAAGCTGGCTGCAGTTTTAGATTTCTTCCCAAGGCTCCACTGCAAGGACACTGGACCTCATACCCCAGTGTGTACTGCAGGAACAGCAGAGAAAGCTCTGTGGGGTCAGTGCTTTTGCATTCTTCTAGGGAGGTACAAAGAAAAAGTTGCACATTGCTTGTCACTCACCTTGAATCTCGCAGACTGCCATCTGGATGCTCCCTTTACAACCCTTCCAGGCATCTTCAGGAGAATCGTAGTAGGACAGTATGCCTCCACAAAGAAGGAACCACCGAGGCTGCCAGCCTAAAGACAGCGGGAAAGCCAGGGAATTATTGTTGGTGTGTAAGGTGTCAACCATGTAGGCTACCAAATCCCAGACGTGAGGCTCTTTTCGTTGCTTCTAAGAAGGAAGCAGGCTTGAAAAGACTTGTCCATTGATCCTATTACTGTAAAATTAGAAACAGTCCCACAGGAACATACTTTAGTCATAGGAGATACAGAAGTTGGGAAGGATCAGGAGCAAAGAAGTGGTGGTGAAGCTGGGCAATGGTGGCGCACGCCTTTAATCCCAGCACTTGGAGGCAGGAGCAGGCAGTACTCTGTGAGTTCAAGGCCAGCCTGGTCTACAGAGTAAGTTCCAGGACAGCCAGGATTGTTTTACAGAGAAACCCTGTCTCAAAAAAAAAAAAAAAAAAAAAAAAAGTGATGGTGATATGTAATAGGGCTTACACAAGATTTTTATTTTCATCCCCCAACACAGTTCTAATAATCTATATTTCTTAATTTTCCTAAGACAAATAATTACTGTCATAATGTCATAAACATCATTGTCATCAAACATCCATTCCCCTTGTCTAAGAAATATCAGGACCTTAAAAACTGTGCGACAAAGATCACGGTATCTTTTCAGCAAAGGTTATGCACTGTCCAGACTAATGAGCCTGCCTAGAAGCCCTGGGCTCTAAGGACAGATTTCTCTGACCATTTAGTAACCAAAGCACAGCAATCTTTAAACCCTCAAGATTTAAATGAAGCAAAAACCCACAAAGTCTGGTCAATAATTTATAAAGGGGTGCAATGGAAAAATAGACCAACAAATACAGAACAAGGTAGATACCACTGCTGATCAGTTGCCACTATCTTGCCATTCTGCCCAAGGGCAATGAGGATTAACAGCAAGACTTGCTACTACTCTGACCACAAGAAAGAGAGAGAGAGAGAGAGAGAGAGAGAGAGAGGGAGAGGGAGAGAGAGAGAGAGAGAGGGAGGGAGAGAGAGAGGGAGCAAGGAGACAGAGAATCTCCTCCACAAAATCCAGTAATATATCCAGAAAAAAACCACACCCATTGGGCTAGTTATTCCCCGCCCCCCCCCACACCAACAGGCATCTTCAGTTAGGTTTTCCTCTTTGAGGTGCCACATTATCTTTCTCTCATGTGACTCTACTGTGCCTGAGGCATCCAGAGAGAGGGTTGTGGGGACTTGGAGCAGAGCTCCAAGGACAGAGCAGACATAAATATCTATCCAATGGGTCCTTGGGGATGGCATAACCATGTCAGTAGGGGCTAGAGAATAAGGAACACTTGCTGTTCTTGCAGAGAACCATGGTTTGGTTTCCAGCACTCACATGGTGGCTAATAACTGTTCCAGAAAATCTAATGCCCTCTCTGGTCTCCATGAGCACCAAGCAAGGCATAGGAACATACAAATGCAGGCTAAACGTTCACATGCATAAGAAAACATTTTTTTAAAAAATATGGGTATAACACCAACTGATGTCCAAATGACAGTGACTTATTTTGACGTTTTGGGGAGAATGCTGTACTTTCTGGAGTCACTCACTCGACACTTCACTCCCCCAGGCTAAATGGTCTGCACTAAATCTAAGGGAAGGAGTTGGGAGGGCTGGTGAGATGTCCTTCCTACTCACCAGGGCCTGTTTTTCTAGGAACCGCAAGACACAAGCCTGCCAGGAAACATGTCTCTTGCTTCTTTAAATAAAACTAGATGAACATTAATTCTCAACATTTACTCTTCAATAATCCCTGAACTCAATTACCTTGCCATATAATGTTTCTCTCACCAAAGATCAATATTTTTTTCAAAATTGCAGCTATTCCTCCCGTCACACTTTCTGTATTGAAAGCTTCTGCCTAAAGATGAAGATCCTTTATTGATTGTATGGAGCCTCATGGTCTTATCATGGCCACAGCCCACAGTCCTAGCAAACTTGTTGAGATGAATTCATAAATATATGTTGGAAGACGATACTTTGTAATCTCAACTTTAAGTTTTACCAAAACACAAACTTGATGGCCACCATCGGCACAACCAAGTACACCCATCGCTCATCTGAGTACACCGCTACTCTCCTGGCATCAGACATCACTGATGCATTACACCTTTGCAAAATAATCTGATTATTTACGCCACTATTTAGGCCACTTCCCCCTCACTGAAACAAATAGTTTCTCAGAATCTGAAAACCAAAGAAGTCTTTGAAATCACCTAAGTCAATTTGTTCAATTTATAGATAAATAAACCTATCCCAAGGTATGTCCTGTACACAAGAAAACTAAAGAGAAAAATCATGCCTTCCTACATTGCCCTTGTGAGCACACAAACTCCTAAGCCTTGGCTCCCTGCTGGCAGAAAGCCATCTCAATACATAATAGTATTTTCACTTATAGCTCAACTCCTGCCACTTTGACTTGTGTGGACGCTCCCTGCCCCCAATATATACCACAATTCTTGCATAGGAAGCACTTAAAACATACCTGATAACTATTTCAACAAGTTTAGGGTTTATTTGCTTTAGCAGTCTCCAAGAAAAAGAAGCAACAGGATCACATATTGACATACAATATAAATTACTATAAAGAATCAGCTCATCCTAAGATCTGCAGTCAGCAATGGGGGACATGGAGTAGGTTTCAATGAAGGTTAATGCCCCACCCTGTTCATTATAGCTGGGCAGGTGGCGCCTTCTTACTCAATCTTTTTGTTTTAATCTGGTCTTTAAGTATCTAGGTTAGGCCTATAAACATGATTGGAGGAACATTCTATTTACTTGATCTATCAATTCAAGGGCTAATCTTACCTAAGAACTCCTAGACTCATTCAGAGTGTTTCCGCAAATGTTTGAGGATTCAAGCCCGTCGACTTTCCATCACTATGACAAACATCCTAAGATAAATGAACTTGCAAGGAGGAAAGATCTTGGCTTAGTATTTTACCAGATGTTTTAGGGACTCCACCGCCTTTGAACAATGGTAAAGTGGTACAAGATGGTAGTGGTCAAGAGCTTGGTGATACAAGATGCTTGCCTCACAGTATCTAGGAAGCAGGAGAGGGACAGCATCCAACTTTTCTGGAGCACGTTCTCAGTAACCCCACTTCCTTCATTTTTCTAGGCTCCTCAGAAAGTTTCTGCCACCTGACAACAGCATGAAGCTGAGGACCAAGACTTAACTCGTGGGCCTTTGAGGAGCATTCCATATCCAAATTACATCAGCCTCCTGTGGCTCAAACTGACATTAAATAAATCACATCAATTTCAAGACCATTTTTAATGTAGCAAAGAATCTTAAAAAGTCTGCTAATTAAACAAAGACAAAACACTAATCACAATGTGATTCTAGATTCTGTAATAATGATAAACTTGAAATTAAAAAAGAACATACTAAGCTAGCTTTATCTTACAGGGTTCCTAAAATGCTGAAAGTCCTCCCCTTTCTGCACAGCCCAGCTGCAGTGAGTTTTGAGAGCCGCTGGGGATCTGAACTGTGGGAGGCACAGAGGTCCTAGTACTCACTGAGAAGCACTGAAAGAACCAGGAATGTTAATCACACAGGGTGTCTCCTCAGTGGAGGAGATACAAATCAAATATCTACATTCCATCCAGGAAGCTAGAAATGGAGGCTGTTAACAACCTGGTTATCTGAAAGAACAGTGTCACCCTGATTCTCCAGAATGATCATCCCAGACTCTCTTTCCCTAGACCATTCCCATCGTTAGGGGAAATGTCACAAGTACTTTATCCCTAGATTTAGGCCTTTTTAGCTGGAGAACCCACCCTCATAGTCACATGTACTTTGTAAAGAGTCTCTAGTTGGTCACACCTTAAGCTTCACTGTACACCTGGAATTGGACCATTTGAACTGACTGTAGCCTGGAAACCTTTCCCCAAACTGTACTATGTTTTAAAACTGTCTGGCATTAGACTCCCCAAAGTCTGATCCAAGTTAACAAAGTCAATCTGCACTGGGTTTTCATTCTTATCACTTTGAGTGGTTCTCTTCCTTGAATGACACCTGCAGAGACCCCTCACTGCACTAATGACTGAGGCAACCCCTTCACTACTGTAAGATGTTTTTACCCGGGGGAATATAATTATTCCGGGGAATTCAATATGGCACCACTTTATTCTTTAATATTCTTTAATTTGGAACTATAGAAACTGACAAAAGGAGCTTTTTTGGAAGCTCAAGGTTCCTGAAGTCTCAAAAGATACGTTAAGAAACCCCATTCCTGTTAGATGAGATTAAATGCTGGGATGGAAAGTCCCATTAGTGCTGGACACACTGTTCTTTTTAATGCCCAATGCTGACAACCTGGGCTACAGCCCAGCAAAGGCGAACTGAACAAGAAAAGATGCATGAATGGTGAGGTGGCTATTGATCTACTTCACATTTCAAGATCTTCTGCAGATAGCTGGGAATGGGAGATAATGAAAGACTCAAGTTAACTGAAGAATGGTGGAAACTACAGGTCTGTACCATTCTCATCCTGCCAACTGACTCATCTTCCTGTTTAACCCAAACCCCTTTTTGCTATTTTCTATTGAGAAGGAACATGTTTCCAAACTACACACGTGAGCCAAGAAACTAGAGTTTTAGCTCACACCCTCTGTTATCACCAGAGATGGCATTCATCAAGTTCAAGGCTATCCTGGTTTCTGTGTTGAGTTCTAGGACAGCTAAGGCCACATAGATAAGACCCTATCTCAAAGACAAAACAAAAGTGTTTAAGTCCTAAATATCACCACTCCCAAACTACAGTCTGCAGGTGTGAATTTCAATGTTAATTGAGTTTTAAAACTTTAGCAGGTATGGTGGCATGGTAGTACCAGCTACTCTGGAAGGCAAGGCAGAAGGATCCTTTGAGCTTGGGATTTTGAGACTGGACCAACACAGCAATCCCATCTCCCAGAAAGTGGATTCTGCAAATGGTTGTCAGAGGATTAAGTGTAGAAAGCATCTGCTGTGTGAAGGGACAGCAGATTGCAGACAAAAAGAGAGAGG